CACGTGGCCCCCCCTTGTCTGGTGTCAGAAGTAGCTTAAAGCAGCCATGACAAAGAGAAAAATATTCTGCTCTGCCTTAAATGAACCAATTTTTTCCTTCCAAATTATGGGTTTTTTGAGACAGAGTCTCACTCTGTTGCCCGGTTAGAGTGCCGTGGCATCAACCTAGCTCACAGCAACCTCAATCTCCTGGGCTCAAGCAATCCTTCTGCCTCAGCCACCCGGGTAGCTGGGACTACAGGCATGTGCCACCATGCCCGGCTAATTTTTTCTATATACTTTTAGCTGTCCAGCTAATTTCTTTCTATTTTTAGTAGAGATGGAGTCTTGCTCTTGCTCAGGCTGGTCTCAAACTCCTGAACTCAAATGATCTGCCCGCCTCTGCCTCCCAGAGTGTGAGGATTACAGACATCAGCCCCCTCTCCTGGCTCCAAATTTAAAGGTCTTTCAAGACCTTAAGGTGTTACTACCCATCCATTTTTCCCCCTCTACCCATCTATTTTCAAAACCCTTTCTAGTTGTTGATCAAATCACATTGTTTATTAATAAATAATACTGTTTATTCTGGGACATTTCACTAATTGCTTAGATGATCTTATATTTAAGATAATGTGCTTTATTCACAGCAGTGGCTCATGTCTGTAATCCTAGCACTCTGGGAGGCCGAGGCAGAATTGCTAAAGCTCAGGAGTTCAAGACCAGCCTGAGCTAGAGCGAGACCCTGTCTCTACTAAAAATAGGAGTCTCTACTAAAAATAGGAAAATTAACTGGGCATCCTGGTATGTGCCTGTGGTCCCAGCTACTTGGGAGGCTGAGGCAGGAGGATCGCTTGAGCCCAGGAGTTAGCTATGATGATGACCCTGGACTCTACCTGGGGCAACAGACCAAGACTCTGTCTTTAAAAAAAAAAAAAACTCCATTTGTTTATCTATTTTATCAGTAAATATTTTGTAAGCCCCTACTGTATACCAAGCAATGTGCTAGAAACCTGGGGTACAGAGAAAACATAAAGGACAATGTCTAACCTCAGTCGAGATTCAGTCCAGAGCATCAAATTCTGCTGCATAGAAGTATTCACAGTCCCTTTCAAGGGACTTAGAAAGTCTAAACTTAAAGAGACTTGAAGTAAATTTTCCCAGAAATTTGGGCTTGGGAAACTCCCTCAAAGAGAATAACAGTCTTTAATTCAGCTGAATATAAGAAATGCTTTCAGAAATATTGGTTGGTAGGACAAGGGAATAATTTACAACAAATCAAGGGTATTCATTAGGGGATATAGGATGTGATATGCCTCTCGTATTTTCTCTTGCCACCTGGGCGTCAAGAAGAGTCTAGCAATGTCTGGCTACTGAGTTTTCAGGATAAGAAAATGCAAAGGCCAGAGTCACATCTTAGTTGGCACAGTCTGGCTACTTGTTGCTTTGAGCACTTAAGCCACATTCATACTCTTGATGGGCTTGAACCTGTCATGGGGTTACTCAGGATGCTGTAGTTAGAGATCAAGCAATTGCTTTCCAGTTCCACTTTTGTTTCCAGGAGAGAACAGTTTGTAGGGATTCTACTTGTCTTGGGAATGCAGGCCATGATGATATTATTTGAGGATCACGATCCCCTGTGCTGCTTCCTCTATAGGATTTATTTCTACATTGGTTGATGACGCCAGTCACTGATTCATTTTTAGAAGAAGGTAGAAAGAAATATAAACCAATAAATAAACATTAGCAATCTTATTCTAGCCTCTCAACCCAAACTTAGACTATCTCCTGGTCAACTTAGAATATCTCCTTTTTCGCCAAGTTGTAAACTGGCTCAAATTATATCGTCTCATCATAGTTAGAAACAAAATATGGTAAGTTAGCAGGATTTTAAGAAAACATTGTAACTAACAGAAATAGGGTCTCCAGAGACTACTGTATTAAACACAGAGAAACAGCCTCCCAGGACAGGGCATTTTTTACTGTTGTTTCCTTTTTCACCCAACGTAACAAATCGATGTATCTGCTCACGGATACAATGTGGGGGAAAATGAGACAGATCAGGATTTGTGTCGGTGGTACTTTTCACGTCAGCCCTGCCACTAGCTGTCTGTGAAATCAGCAATCAGCATGAGTGAAGAAAGATTTTGAGGAGGAGGATGGCTCCTACTGACCCAGCTGGTCAGTTGCTGCTCCTGCGGACCCTTCCGTTCTGGCAGAACACCCAGGGACCTGAGACTCATCCTAGACTGACTTCTCCCTCTCCGCTGCCACATTCGTGGTTTGCCACCCATAACTGAATCACATCCCTCGTTTCACGCCCTTTCCCGTGGGGTACTAAAGCCACATCTGAGCGTGGGGTTTCCAGCATTGCCCCCACCCCCGTCCACTCCACTTTCCACGCTGCTACCGCCAAGGCGAACCAACTTGAGCGACTCGGCTCAGTCCCGCCTTTTATGAGCGCTTTGCTGTACTTTCCGGCGCTCTGCAGAACCCAAACCGCAGCACCTGCTCCTGCTCACCGTGGCATCCCAGCGCCCGACGCGTGGTCAGCGCCCAGTGAAGATGAGCTGAACGGCTCGGAGGCCCCCAGTGCCGCAACCAGGCTCTCGTCTACCTCCACTTACGTCTGCGGCTAACCCCAACCACAGTCATCGACCAACTGTCCCCACACTCGTGTGCTGTCTCGTGCCTCCACGCTGTTGCGCTGGCCACGCTTTTGGCTTGTAATGCTGCACCTGCTCGGGCCACAGCCCACCTTCTCTCACCAAATCTGTCTGCAAAACAGCGTCCTCTCTCTGCACAGCCCCTGGCCTCTGACCAGCCCAGAAAACCCGCATGCTCCTCCAGCACCAAAGGGGCTCAGGGCCGAGGTCAGAGCACGCTGGGTTTCAGGCTCAGGGGGCTGAAGGCTCGCAGGGGTTTGGGACAGCAGGTGCTGGCTTAGGGCTTGGGCTCAGCTTTTAGCTGTCACCCTGGTATGATTTTATCCTCAGTCTAGGTGTTCTGGGGATCTGAAGGTTGATTATCTCCGTAGCTCAATAAAGTTGAAATTAAAAAAAAGATTATTCATTGTTCCTGTGGGGTAAAATGTTTTCCACTCATAAACTGGAAACTACCTGAATTTTCCTGCCAGTTACATTTTTCCCTGCTTCTTTAAAAATAAACTCTTGGTCAAAACTGTATTTACCTCTGATCTGAAAGCCATGTTTTCCTTTCTTCCTTAAACAACAAATAGACATGGTCTTAAATGGCTATGAAGCTAGCTATTGACTAGAGCCTCCGGTTCCTGAAACAGTCAGCATGCTCCTTAAAGAAGAGAGTGTGTGGCTGAGGTTCTGGTAAATATAAGCCCCAGTTGTTCAGGAAGGTAGTTCGTGGCGTTCAAAGGTTGAATGCTTTTCAGATCTGCTCCCCTCCCTTCCAGCATTGGCAGAGAGTGTAATCAATTTTTAAAATGACGAAGGAAAGATAAAAGTGTTGAAAACTAAAGATGGCTCACGGTTAATGTGTGTGTCTTCAAATTTAATACAGTTCTTCAACTAATTTAAAATACCATTGAAGTGAGATGATATTCTCTAAATATTTTATCACTAAGATGCTATAAGATTTCTGACACATGTATTACCACATTTTCCATTTAATTACTGATCAAATGTACTAGTTGAAAAGACTAAGATATTGCCATAAACCAGAATAATTTGTGCAATTACAGCAAGAAGGACTCTGTTATCTTCCCCTTTATAAAAACTGTTGTGGGGTAAAAGATGCAGACTCACTTGAATAGAACTTTCCTTTTTATTGTGGTTAATACAGAAACCACACAGGATCTAGTCTTGGCATCGCAAACCTTTGAACACTACATCTGTGAAATTCTGTTGTCTTTTTAAATTTTCAGTAACATTTCTTTTTGCTATATTTATCACATTTTCCAAAATATGAAAAATGCTCTTTTTATTTTAAATGTTGACTACACGTGAAAAATTAACTCTGGTTCCATTACTTCAAACTATTCCTTTATTAGCAACAGTTGTGCAGTGCTGTCAAGAAGAATTTTAAAACTAAAGTACCAAATTTGGAGAGTGGACACATCTGTTTTGCTTTGCAGTTTGTTTTATTGTTTTATTTCTTAGGATATGAATTCACAACTATCTTATAACTGAAGACTAAAGAAAAAGCATATGTTGGTAAATCTGATTTCTGCATTTTTCTTTTTCATTCGAGGGAAGTTGCCTCCCTCAGCTGTCTGCCAATAAGTAATAAATGGACTTGGCAAAAAGTTTATTTAAGTTGGCTTTATTAAGCCAACAAAATACAGAAATCAAGTAAGGGACAGGCAGAAAAATCTGTTCCTTTGAAGTCAATAAAAATCCATCTCCTTAATCCTTTTTTTATTCCGAGCAGTGGTGATTTTTCTCATCTGACTCACTGAGAACCTTGATTTAGCTAATCTGTCTTGCTTAGTTATCTTTCTTCTCCAAAGCTTTCCTAAAGAAGCATCCTTTGCCCTTGACAACTGTCATCTTTTATACTTGCAGAGTGGTGCATCTAGTTATAAACATTCTTTAGTTAATCCCGAAAGAGATTTAAAAAACAGGTTTTTAATTACTATCCATATTTTAGAAGAATAAAAACAGCAGTAGGTAGCAAGCTGAAACAAAAGACACATAGAAATGATCAAGGTGGAAAGGTGGCTATAATTTGATGCCACACGTCTTTTCTGAGCTATCTCCTTCAAGCTCTGTCAGAGCTATATTTGACTATTTCTTACCTGTCCATTGTGAAAGAAAATCCAGGACTGCAATACTTTAACCCATTTTCCACACCCCAACCTATCCACAAAGGGGCTATGAATCATGTAGAAATATGTAAGGAAATATGTTCATGTTTGAAGGTTTCATGTGATTCGAAAGGAAGGGCATTATCTTGATAGAAGAAAAACACAGATTGACTTCAAGACACTCAAACGTCAGTATCATTTAGTAACCTCTGGTTGTATGTGGTATGAGAAAAGGATTTCTTACCTAGACTGAAGAGCACCAAGAATTTCAGACACACAAACTCTCGTTGATCAAACTGCAGAGAACGAAGTTTTGCCACTAACTCCTGCGCGTGACTCATGAGGTTGTTGAGGGTGGCCCCAGCCTGGGACGCTATGACAGAATAGTCCACCTGCAACACAGAACCACGCAGTTTTGTGGATGATTAGAACGAAAAATGTATGTTTCACTTGAGTTTGTTTAGAACTGAGGATAAAAGTCAGGTTGCAATACAAATTGGTAACAGAAGACTTTCCCCATGAGAGTAGTTTAGACACATTCTATTTATTATAAAAGTTCTCTTAAAGTATATATACCAAAAAGGTATATATACCATTTTATATTATGAAATTACACTATCACATAAGATAAAAATGCTTAATTCTCATGAATAAGTGGAAAGAAAAATATACTGCCCATAAAAAGTAAATCTAGAGCAACATTCTATGCGATTACCACGATATCAACTAGCACACGAGGAGGATAAAGGCAGAGATACATTTCTGTTTGTATTATGAGACTACATTTTAAAGTAACCACGGTTCAAGACTGCATGCTTGTGGATGAGGAATCGCATTTAAATTATTCTTTAGTTTGCTGCTTCCTAAAAAGCCATGGCATTAAACTACTACGTTCAGATCATTACATCAGATTACACCAGATTAATGCACTTCTCTCTAAAGACAGCAATGACCTTATTTATAAGAAGAATAATTCCTTAGTCTGGAAAGCAAAAAAAAAAAAAAAAGGCTTATTTGCCTTTTTATGAAAAGAAAAAAAATTGCTGCTGGGCACTAAGCTTAGATCATTCACGGGGACACAGGGGCTGCACGTACAGTAAGTTAAGACGTCGGGAAGGCTGTCAGCGGCAGCGCGGCTCGGCCGCTGCGATTACGGCATAATGGGAAAGCCCAGGTGGTACCTGACGCTCCGTCCTTTCTTTACTGGGGAGTTCTCAGGCAACCAGATACTCTTTCAGGTGCATTTAATATTTGCAGCAGCAGCAAATTTGTCTGGGAGGCAAGTCCTCATCTGCCACTCACCCAGAGCAGACTGTATTAAATTTTTATATTTATTGACATTTCATTACCATAATTGACTGCACTGGCTTCTCCAGGAGAAGGCACGGGGCTGCCTCCTAAGCAGGAGAACTAGTCCCTAGAGCAGAATTTGCAATTAAAAACAAGGCGGAATGGATTTTTTTTTTATTGTGTAAATATGATGAGTTGAATTTTCAGCTTTAACTAGAGAATACAGGGTGTACAGAAACCTTTTTCAAGAGTGAGAAAAATTATGAGTCAGTGGAAAGACGACCCCCCAAAGGTGTCAATCAGTTTATGTGGAGTCAACTATGCATGAAAAAGCCACAGTTACCGTGTGTTTGAGGAGAGCTCTAGCATCGGGCCCGGCGCCGCCCTACCTGCTTTCCCCGTGTGCTGGCATCTGCCCGCTGAATTCAAGCACCAAGCCTGCTAAGAGCTCCTTTGGTTTCTATTGGGAGTGTGTGAAAGAAAAGGGTCAGTACAGGGTCAACCTGAACCCTGAGCTGGAAGCAGAGGAGACGAGCTGTCGGGCTCTGCGCAGCATGTTGGGATTACCTGCCTAGCATGCAAAGCGATGTCCCAACGACCATTTTGCCAGTTCTCTCTCTCACATGGGGAATTTTCTGCTTTAAGGAAGTTCTTACTTAAAAGGTGTCTGTGCTCTAAATTCTTAAAAAAAAACAAACAAAACTGCACAGAGTCTAACGACGTCAGGTAATAATGACATAAATTCTACAGGGACAAAGGAGGTAGACAAGTGAAGGACAGCCAGAAGGCAGCAGGGGTGGGAGGGCCTTGGACAAGATGGGAGGTCTGATCTGGGCCATCCCTGCCTTTTACTAACCAAGAGCCTTGGGCATGCACAATCTCCACGCCTGGGTGTCCTGATCTTCAACTATGGAAGTTAAGGTCAATGATGATAATAAGGTACTTCCCACTTCTGTGATTATCAAAAAAATAATCTTAGCTGGGACAATACTAGCGATTTAAGTTTAGAATACATTGAATGCACCATAGTATAGCTTAATAAATACATAGTATTATACATTTTAATAAAAAATCACTACTTAAGCCTTAAAGCAGGAAGACTGTGCTAAAATAAAGCATAAATATATCAGTGTATATTAATTTTTCATTATGATGATGGGGTTAATTAAATTCTGATATGTATGTAGTCACAACAGGTATGTAATAAGTTCAAATACTAGAATTTCATACTTGGAAATGTACTGCACTATAACTGAAAGGAATCTAAATTGTTTCACAGAATTGCACATTGAGTGAGAGACCTTTAGTGAGATGGGCCTCAAGAAATCAATTGTCTTACCAACAACTTTACAGCTATACATTTATTTACATGCTAATTTGAAAGCTCAAACATGCTTATTAAATGGGGGCTCCAATAACCTTTCTTTCAAGGATAATTTATCAGATTGCATGGCTCTGAAGAAGGATGGGTAATTCCCGAAACAGCACACAGATCTACAACTTCCTTACATTTTATTACAAACATAATTATGTTTTCATTGTTGAATGCAGAGTTTGTGCTCATTTCAGGAGCAGCTGGCCTTGTCTTTTATGTACTTAGTAAAATTAATTTATTGTTCTCTTACACGTAATCTTTGTGCCATTAAATTCAAGGGAGATATTGAAGAAAATACTCTTAACCAATGTCCCCTTTGGATAAATTTCATTCATCATGAAGGTAGAAACAGTTTTAGCTAAATTGCTTTCAGTTCTAATCACCAAAATTTTGATGACTCGTATATTGTAAGATGCCTGTCATTTTAATATGATGCACAATAATAGAAGATAATAAATTGCCAGCAGACCCTTTTCCCTTAGGACGATGCTACAGTGGCTGTTAATTAGCTACAATATGCAAATAGTAAAACCCAACTTCACTTCAAAGTACACTATTATTTTATACATAGATATAATATATATATTTTTAAATACTGGATAGAAAGAATTCTAATCATAAATATAAGGTGCTACAGTATAGAATTGATTTGACAGTGCTTAATATTACTGATAATCATTATTTCCTTTTTGCTTAATAAGGTTACTTAATGTACATTTATACAGATGCCTGATTGAAAGACACAATTAAAACCTAAGTGCTAACTTCAGGGTTAAGCAAAGCACCGAGTCTTTATTTCAATACTATGTACTGGTGTCCTGGGCTGCTCTGTTCAGTGGGACTATTTTGGTTCCTCTAGTTCTGAATGAACTGAGAGAAGATTCAATTCTGCAAACATGTACTGAGCAAACTTCCTAGCCGTGGGGCTGAAGACAAAGGTTGTGGCATTTTATGTAACTTTCCTCCCTCTCTTCAAACTCCAAGTAGCAGTCTCTTGACTATCGCGCTCATTTTTTCAATTCAGTCTAGCCTTTTTCTTCTTCCTCTGCTGTAACAAATTCACCACATGATTTACAGAGAGCTGCATTCAGTAGGAAAAGCCAGGAGACCAGACCACAGAGCACCAGAGGCCTCTCGTCCCTCAAGAGGGATGCCCGGGGTTGCTATGAAGCAGTGTGGACGCCACACACCCGCTTTCAAAGCAAGGCAAGATCCCTGTCCGGGGGGGTCCCACTGGGCCAGGACTTTGGCCCTGATATCATGGACTGAGGCACATTTAACGTTACTATTTGCTAATCTGAAAGTACTGAATATGAGCATTTTCATTTGTTCCTGAAGTAATCATCATGGGGGAGTTGAGAAAATTCTACAGGGAAACCTGGACATTTACCGGAGAATTGAGAATACTGTACTTCTGGTTGAGGCTAGAAAGGGTGGAGGGGGTTTCTCTACCCCTCAGAGGATTTTGAGCACTGCTATCTGCTTCAACTTGCAAAGAAGAGTTCAACTAAACATCCTCACCTTAGGGCTAAGGCACTTCCCCATAGAAGCTGAATCACCTGGCCAGCTCTGAATGCCCATCTTATTCCTCCTGCCCTTCCTGCTCTGAACTTTCCTCCCACCTTATCTGACCCTGTGTCCCGGGGCTTGCTTGTGAAAGTGCTCAGTGGGAAGCTCGATGCAAAGGGCAGTCATTATAGTCATCAATTAGGTAGGTGAATTACATTCCTTATCATTATTGCCTACAGGGCTGTGTCTAATTTTTTCCCCCTCACATCTTCGATTTCCCTTTATTTATCAGGCCATCAGATATATTTTTGAAATAAATGAAAAATATTCTTCTGTCCTATAGGTGATTGCCAAGCTTCCTGTAGGGGAATTTTGCACGCTTTATTGGAAGAGTGCCATTTAATTCTTTGCCGTGATATCAACAACACGGCTTTGATACAAGGCATCATAGAAACAGGCTTCTATCGTTTTAAAGTTCACATTCTGCACAAATCCATTGTAGTAAGTAGTAGGTCAGTATGTCTCTAGGGCGGATAAATTATTTTATTTAGAAAACTAAGAAAAATATTTATTTAAAATATACATTTTCTCCAAAGATTGGAAGAGAACTCAACAAAAACATCTGATATATGACAGATTTATGAGCAATATTTTTTTATTTCTAGTTTTGTCTTAAAGGTCAAATAATTTTATACGAGTAATATTCACATTAAAATTGTTTCTGTATAATTTGAATTTACCTTTAAAATGTGCTTATAATGCCACACTAAAAAAAAAATCCTCCCAAAGACAAATAAATAAACACACACACACACACACAAATTATGCATTTAGCCTCCATAAAAAAGAATGAACTCGTTTTGCTCGGCAGTTCACAGAGGCTGCCATGCACTGCAATGACACATGAAGGACAAATTAAACACCTGCAGTGCAGACGAGCTCTGTAGCATCAGTGAGCTATCCAAAGGCAGAGTGGCGGGTTGGTGAAGAACACAACCTCTGGCACTAGCCTGCCTCGAGCTGAAGATCCATTCTACCACTTAACTACATCACCTCCCGTTGCCTCAGTTTCCCTATCCACAAAAGGGGATCATGCTAGAGCTGCTTCACAGGGCTGCCAACTCCATACATGTTAGCCTGTGTGGGCCCAGCTGTGAGCACTTCCAATTTTTGTCAGCATTTTACAGGACTATTTCCTGTAATTTTTATTGCGATTCACTCAGGTAGATACCATCACCATCTCCACGGGACAGGTGAGGACACGGAAACTTGAAAGGTAAAGGAACATGCTCAACATGACATAGTTAGGAAGTCTTGGAATGGGGACATGAACACGGGTTGTGTCCTAGTTCTGAACTACATGGCACGTGGTGACCAACCACACACACACACACACACACACCCCTCTGCACTAGTAAAGAAAATATACTTCACCAATAATTCAATTCTTATAGACTGTAAACACAATAAAAAGACAGTTCTTTTTTTTTGCTATCCTCAACTACTTACATTTCTTTTTTATAAATTATTTTGCTCCAGAATATTGCTTTACTCTTTCACTTAATACATTCCTTTCCTTCCTTTCATGATTTCGGCTACCTTCTTAAAAACGGCATATGCCAAATAATTTATTATTGTTGTTTTTCTTGTTGTTTCAACCAAAATCCAGTCTCCCTCGCTTGCAATCATGGAAGTATACCAGTCAAAAAAAAAAATTATACTTGAAACTTTCACATACGTCTCTGGGCCACAGAATAGGGAGCAGTCTACAGCAATAAAAGGGCGATATACTTCTAGAAAACTATTATTGACATCCCGGCCCCAGAGAAGTAAGTTGGCAGGTGTAAGAGGGTACGGATGAGACGTGGGAACACAGTGAGTACTATCGTGGGTCTTGAGACCCAGTCAACTTGTTTTAGGTGAGCAATGAGGCTAGAGACATGACAGTTCTCATCCCATACAATCAGCTAATATTTATCATGTGCCTAACACAGCCAGCATTTTAGTAGGTGCCGGGGGGATACATAAGAATCATCCGTATAAGACTTTGCGTTAAAATATCTTCCTCACTCTGTTGGAGAAGTCGTGTGCTTCTGGAAAGTCTTCCTTTGTAGCACTCTTGCTTTCATCCTACGAAACTGCAGGAGGCCCAGGGATAAGTTCAAATGTTTTGTCTAATTCTAACTTACTCCACAAAATATAGCTGCCTTCCATAGTTGCCAGAAATGGGACTGTCTGGTTGTAATTAATCATTATCAGGCTATTCGCTTAAATTGGATGGGAAAAACTGAGGGAGGGGCTTGGGCAGGCCTGTGGCGTACTAAGCATGGGGGAGCTGGAAGAATATAGGAAACAGGAAACATAAGGAGACGACTCTCTCTCCACCAGGGAGTTCCTATTTCAATTCTGACGGCAAAACACAAAGCAGCAGAGTAAGCAAACTAAAGACTATAATAGCATCTATTCCTTGACTGTTCTTGGTTTTGAAAATCAGAGACGAAAGAAATGTACCTTTTCTACTTTTTAAATGCTAATGACCTTTACCCAGGAGTAGCACTTAAAGCAAGATAAAATGTGAAATAAGAAGTATTTCTAAAGAGCAGAATGGAAGTGCTTTGAGAAAGAACGGCACAAACCCATTTCATTTTCTGAAACTCAAAAAGACATGAAATCAAATTAATTTGTGAGCTGAGACTCGTACTTCTAATGTAGCTCCTAGTTGGGCAGAGGTGGGTGGACTACCTAATGACTGGACTCTGAAAATGGGTACATTTCCTCCAAGGACTTGGGACACAGGATGAAAACGCTAAACAAAAATTTGAAAGCACAGGAAGTCAGACCCATTGAGACTTCATTTGCTCATCTCAAAAGCTTTTCTCATGAGAAGTGCAGAAAGCAGGGACCAGATAGTGACGGAGGTGCTCGATTTGATCCAATTTGCAAACACTCTAAGATGGTACTTGCCTTTAATTTGATTGGGGAAATTTGATTTATTAGCAATACAGCAAACGATGTGGAGCCAGCCTTCCATTCCCAAACACGCGCTGCTGCGCTGGCACAGCACATAAACGTTTATGGCTGGACGTAAAAGATCACGGTGGCCGAGTACTGAAGTCACCATTGCTGAGCAGTGCAAGGGGCCCTGAGCGGGTATAACCCACAGGACTGGAGGAACCGCTGGGTTCCACGTGTTTATTTTAATACATTAGTTGTAGAATGGAGGGGAAGCGACTGCAGGGGCTTGCCCAAAGCCTGTCTTGTTGGAATGAGGGCCCTTAAGCAGACACTCTGTTTTTTAGGACATCCACGGAGCTGTCTCTCCTTTCTAAGTCTTTGCTCAAATGTCACTTTTCAATAAGGCCAAACCCGCCGTTTCTATCGAACACTGCAACCCACGGGTCACGCTGCAGGTGAATGCTGCTTTCCCTCTACCTGGCCTTCTTTTTTTCTTTTGCTCAGTAACACTTTAACCTGTAACACATTACAGGTTTATTAGGATTATTGTTTATTGTCATTTTCTCCCTACAACAACATTAAGTTACATGAGGGCAGGAATTTTCTTTGTTTTGTTCACTAATATATGCCAAAGCCCCAGAAAAGGGGATAGCACATAGTAGGAGGTTCAATAAATATGTGTTGATTGAACAAACATCTATTCAGAAAGGAGTAGAACTTAACAGTAATCTTTTCTTTCTCTTGCTTTTGAATGACTGGATCTGGAAGACTGCAAACTCCTGTCCCTTCTGACTTGCCTGCCTTTATGCCAACTATTTAGATCAGGTGTCCTCAAACTACAGCCCGCAGGCCACATGCCGGCCGCCTAGCACATTTATCCGGCCCTCCGGGTTGTTTTTGCCACCACTGCCTGTCCTGCTTCCCAGGCCCACAGTGCACACTCTCCAACGGTCTGAGGGACAGTGAGCTGGCCCCCTCTTTGAAAAGTTTGAGGACCCCTGATTTAGATTGTATGTGACATCTGAATCCGTCTCTTCCACCAACATTGTTCCAAAATAGTAAGGATTCCACAATTATAGGGTCTTAAATACCTGGCAAATAAATATGGTAGGTTGGCCGGGCGCAGTGGCTCACGCCTGTAATCCTAGCACTCTGGGAGGCCCAGGCGGGCGGATTGCTCAAGGTCAGGAGTTCAAAACCAGCCTGAGCAAGAGCGAGACCCCGTCTCTACTATAAATAGAAAGAAATTAATTGGCCGACTAATATATATAGAAAAAATTAGCCAGGCTAAAAATAGAAAAAGTTAGCCAGTCAACTAACAATGAAACAAAAAATTAACCGGGCACAGTGGCGCATGCCTGTAGTCCCAGCTACTCGGGAGGCTGAGGCAGGAGGATTGCTTGAGCCCAGGAGTTTGAGGTTGCTGTGAGCTAGGCTGATGCCACGGCACTCACTCTAGCCTGGGCAACAAAGCAAGACTCTGTCTCGTAAATAAATAAATAAATAAATAAATAAATAAATAAATAAATAAATAAATAAATAATAAAGTAGGTTAATAAAGAAGCTGGGAGAAAAAAAACCTGGGTACTAATCATTGCTTTGGATTTCGCAGTTGCTCGGATGCTTGTAAGCAGAACTTTCAATCAGGGCAGGCTGCGAGCGGCAGAATGCTTATGATTATGTTTGCTTTTACAAGTTTAACTGCAATCATGAGAGCAGGAACAGAGTGCACCAGGTCATCTTTTCTAAATTATTTGCAGCCAATCTCCCCCTTTCAAAGCACAAGAGTGCTTCTGACCTAGTTAAATTCCTGCCATTCTGAACATGCTTAATAAAAAGACACTTTTTTCTTTGGCCTCTGCACTCACTTGCTGCCCAGTAACCAGGAAGATGGAGCCTTCTTTTCCGTGTACCACTTGCCGGTAAATGTGGTCGAGGATTAGGAGCTCACTCCAGCAGTTCTGAAGCAGCTTCATTTGGTCGTCAACCTGTAAAAGACAGAGACACAATTGACACTGTCATTCGCTACTTTCCAGTTTTTGCACGATTTTCTGCAGAAGAGGACCACCTATACACAAGGACGTCTCCACCACTGGCCACCGAAGTGCAGATGCTCACAATTCACATCACTGCTGCTGAAGGTCATTATTTTCATTTGGACAAATAATTTTTTGGCCACATATACAAACTTAACCTAGGTATAATTAATGGACTGCTAGGAACAGGCACTCCATCAAATTGGTCTATCTGACATTGATACAGCTACTGGAGTTTGGTTGAGGGAGGTAGAGGCAACCTTAGACTGTCCGCAGTAGACCCCATTAGATGACCCAAAGTGCCCATGCTTACCTATCGAAAGGCTCATAGAGTGCATCGAACTGAAGCTGAAAGAGTATACAGACGTTAACAGTTGCCGAAGCAAGAGGATTTACATGCACAGCCAAGACGACTTTCGGAGATCGAGGAACCTGCCACTACTTGTCATCAGTGCTGGCTGGAAGTCCACGCTGTGCCAGACTCTGCACAGAACACTCCCCACGCACGACCTCAGCACTACCACCCTGAGTTTGCTTTCTGTGATTTGGACAATTTTCCCACAGACTCTCTAAATTCTCCTTCAAAGGGGCCAAGAACAGCACTCCCCGCATAGCGTCATGTGAGGACGGAAATGAAAAGTGCTATGTCACAACGGGCACTGGACACACGTCCCATCTCGCCCTCCCGAGAGCTGCCTTCTGCAGTGACGCACACACGCCCAGCTCTAGCACGGTCCCCTCGCCGGATGCAGACAGCACGGTGACCCATCTCCACGGTTCTGTGTCTGTTTCCTTTTTATTCTGTGATGTTCACCAGTCACAAATCTTGGCATACGCAAGTGCGGTGGCCGGGTTTGGACATACAGTATGCATCCATGAAAACAATACCTGGCACAGTTTTAAGCGGGTTTTGGAGTATTATTTTAGATTTTATTCACAGGACATGTCTTTGAAGTTAGTAGAGCTGGAACCGTTCAATTTGCATATGAAAAAAATGGGGTCTCAGACAGGTTCAGGAGTTTGCCTAAAGCATGCTCTCTTCCTTTCTCACAATCTAGGCTGTCTCCAAATTACATCAAGAGGTCCCCAGAGAAGGAATGGGCTGCACCTGCTTCGGCAGCACATATAATAAAATTGGAACAATACAGACATTAGCATGGCCTCTGCAATTAAATTTTTAAAAAAATTTAAAAAGTAAGGGCCAGGCTCGGTGGTTCACACCTGTAATCCTAACACTCTGGGAGGCCCAGGTGGGAGGACAGCTCAAGGTCAGGAGTTGGCAACCAGCCTGAGCAAGAGGGAGACCCCATCTCTACTAAAAAATAAAATAGAAAGAAATTAATTGGCCAATTAAAAATATATAGAAAAAATTAGCTGGGCATGGTGGCACATGCCTGTAGTCCCAGCTACTTAGGAGGCAAAGGCAGGAGGATGGCTTGAGCCCAGGAGTTTGAGGTTGCTGTGAGCTAGGCTGACACCATGGCACTCTAGCCTGGGCAACAAAGCGAGACTCTGTCAGAAAGAAAGAGTAAGAAGGAAAGGAAGGAACAGAGAGAGGAAGGAGAGGAGAGGAAGAGGAGGATGGGGCAGGGGAGGGCGAGGGAGGGGGATGGGAGGGAGGGAGGGAGAGAGGAGAGCAAGGAGAGGAGAGGAGAAGAGAGAGAGAGGAGCAGGAGAGGAAGGAAGGAGAACGGCGGAGGGCAGGGCGAGGGAGGGGGACGGGGAGAGGGACAGAGAGGGAGGGGAGGGGAGAGAGGGGAGGGAGGAGAGGGGAAGGGGAGGGAGGGAGGAAGGAAAGGGAGAGGGGAGGGAGGGAGGGAGAGAGGGGAGAGGGAGGGAGGGGAGGGGAGAGTGGAGGGGAGAGGGGACGGCACAAGAGGGGAAACAGAGGGAGGGGAGCAAAGGAAGAGACGGAGAGGACGAGGAGAGGGGGGAGGGGGGGGACAGGGACCGGGAGCGGGAGGGGAGGGGGGAAAGGAGGGAACCGAAGGGGGAACGGAGAGGGGAACGGAGAGGGGAACGGAGAGGAGAGAGAGGAGGGGGAGGAGAAGAGGAGAGGAGAGGGGAGAGGAGAGGAAAGGGAGAGAGCGGAAAGGAGGGGGAGGGAGAGGAAGGAGAGGAGAGGGGAGGGAGGGGAGGGAGGGGAGGGGAGAGAGATAGAGGAGAGGAGAGGGAGGAGAGAGGGGGACAGAGGAGAGGGGAGGGAGAGAGAGGAGAGGAGAGGAGAGGAGAGGGGGAAGAGACGGGAGGAGGAGGAGAGAAGCAGAGGAGAGGAGAGGGAGGGGAGGGGAGGGTAGGCGGAGGGACAGGGGAAGAGGAGAGGTAAGGAGAGGGAGGGAGGGGAGGGGAGGGGCAGGAGGGGAGGAGAGAGAGGAGAGGAGCAGGAGAGAGAGGAGAGGAGAGGAGAGGAGAGGGGAAAGGAGAGGGGAAAGGAGAGGGGAAAGGAGAGGGGAAAGGAGAGGGGAAAGGAGAGGGGAATGGAGAGGGGAACGGAGAGGGGAACGGAAAGGAAAGGAAAGGAAAGGAAAGGAAAGGAAAGGAAAGGAAAGGAAAGGAAAGGAAAGGAAAGGAAAGGAAAGGAAAGGAAAGGAAAGGAAAGGGAGAGAAGGAAGGGAGGGAGGAGAGGGAAAGAAAAAAAAAAAAGAGGTCCTAGAATTTTCTATACCAAGTAAATTTAATTCACTTTGCCAAATTCTTCTCCTCAGCTGCTTGAATGAGAAACCAAAGTCATTTTTAAGTGGCCATTCAGTGAGACTCAGGACAGTTGTCACTGATACATTAGTAGTGAAAGATTATGGCTAACTTTATTTCTATCAGTCCAAGACACGGGACCATGGTAAAGAAAGCACTGAACTTAGACTAAAAACAAGGATTTGAGAGATGGTTCTATACTTCCTAGCTGTGAGAGCTGGCTCCGCCACTTAATTCTCAAGGCTTATTTTCTCAGCTAAAAATATGTAAGGTGGGGCTGGCCATGGTGGCTCACGCCTGTAATCTTAGCACTCTAGGAGGCTAAATCAGGTGCATTGTTTCAGCTCAGGAGTTCGAGACCAGCCCGAGCAAGAGTGAGACCTTGTCTCTAACTAAAAAGATAGAAGAAATAAAATTAGCTGGGCAACTAAAAAATATACAGGAAAAACAAATTAGCCAGGCATGGTGGTGCATGCCTGTAGTCCCAGCTACTCGGGAGGCTGAGGCTGGAGGATCCGTTGAGCCCAGGAGTTTGAGGTTGCTGTGAGCTGGGATGATGCCACGGCAGTCTATCCTGGACAACAGAGAGAGACTCTGTCTCAAAAAAAAAAAAAAAAAAAAAAAAAAAAAAAAAAAAGTGAAGTGGGCCTTGTTGTGAAGATGAAATGAGATAGCAGATGGGAAAGCCCTTTGCAAAGTGTAAGCAATACACAAATGAAGAGACAACAAACAGAAAGTTCTCAATTGGAAGACCATATCAGTTCTGTTCAGAAGGAAAAAATCAATTGCAGAGATCAAAGCTACAGTCAAGCTCTGGCACCAGGAAAAGGCATCCCCAAGCGCATGACCATTGCAAATATTTCAAACCAGTATGTCTGTTCTGAGCGAAAGAACTTCATTTGTTAAGTAAATAGCAATTTTGAGAGCCAATTATTTAGTGGGTACAAGTGCCAGGCCCTGGGATCTGGTGATGAATAAGATAAACACAGTCCCGGACTTTGTGAAAATTACTCCCATAGGACACTATTGTGGTCCAGTTGACAGTGATTCACTTCTTTCACTAGAGGGAAGTCTCCCAAGTGTCGAGTGGTGCTGCAGTTCAGGCTGTGGGCAGCAGCTTACCTAGATCTGCCCAAATGTTCTCTGCAAACAGCTGACTCCAGGAGCCGTGGCCTAATGTCCTAGCAACACGCATGTCATTGTGCCCAGAGCAGATTCCAGGAACTGTTTCTTACAGGGGCTGAGGAGTGATTTCAAAACAAAGTGCACTTTGCTCCTCTGGGTTTTATTATATTCTCAGACACTATCAGCATCTTATTTCAAACTTATCAGGCTGTGATGGCAATTTGGTTTCATTATGTATTTTTTCCTATGATGTGAAGCATTACTTATTCGTTAAGCATTTGTTTTTTTTTTTTTTGTTTTTTTTGTTTTGTTTCTTTTTTAAGGGAAGCCCAAAATACTGTACTTTGAAATGATCTCCCCAGTAACAATTACCATACGTGTGAGTGTTGCATGGAATTTCCAGATGAGTGGGGGAATACAGACTCCCCAATGTCCATTTATTTATGGATGTCTAACGGGGATTCCAGGTTAAGAACCTATTTACACAGCAAGAAACGTCATTATTATCTGCTGTCCATGTTGAAAAGGAGAACAGGTGAATGAAAATTAAGAGAGAGTATCTTCTGGAGCCATCTCATTAAGGGGTCTTCTTTTCCATTTGCATTCGGTGGTTCCTATCCTTCATATGGAACAGGATAGTAACAGTTATGGTAAGAGTTTGCCACAATTAAGCCATATGAAAATTATAGGGCAATAGCTGGGCACGATGGCTCACACCTGTAATCCTAGCACTCTGGGAGGCCGAGGTGGGAGGATCATTTGAGCTCAGGAATTCGAGACCAGCCTGAGAAAGAGTGAGACTTCGTCTCTACTAAAAAATAGAAAGAAATTAGCTCGACAACTAAAATATATACAAAAAATTAGCCGGGCATGGTGGCGCACGCCTGTAGTCCCAGCTACTCGGGAGGCTGAGGCAGGAGGATTGGTTGAGCTCAGGAGTGTGATGTTGCTGTGAGTGAGGCTGACGCCACGGTATGCTAGCATTGGCAACAGAGTGAGACTCTGTCTCCAAAAAATAAAAAATAAAATAAAATTATAGGGCAAGATCTGACTTTTCTTAGCCTTTTTAGGATGTTGATGATATGCTTCCAAAATCTGGGCCAGGCACAGTAGCTCGCACCTGTAAGTTATTTGGG